AACCCTGCCATAAAAATGATATTTGTGCACAGACTAATAAGTTAAGTGAACATACACTATATTTAATAATTATCCTTTATACCAAGGTCAGTGTCAATTCAACAAGCTCATTGGTCAGTGCCCATTCAACAAGCTCAGATTCACATCACACAACCCTATGGAATGAAACTGAAGTATGTGCAAACGGTTGCATCTAAGCTTCTTAATCACTATCTGTTAAAACAATGATGCCAGTGAGTCAGCTGACTGCTGTTGTAAATAATGATTGTGCCTGGTATAAGCATGCTACCTTGGGTCTTCTAACTATTACCCTAGAAGAGAAATAACATTTAAAATCATCTTGATAGGTAGGATAAATGTGCTGAACATAACAAAGTAATAACATTTGAGAGAGGCAAGCACGAAGTTGTTCACTTAGGAAACCAAAATCATATGTGAAAGCCCATGAGGAGGAATACCTGGCTTGTTAATAGTTCTTGCAAAAAAAAAAAAAAAGGCAAACTTTGGGTTCTAAATCATGGAGATTTTGCCTTGTTCAGATCGCACCTCTAGTACGGTATCCGGTATAAGGATCACATATGAAGAAAGATTCAAAAAAAGATTCAGAGAAATGCAATAAAAATGATCAGGGCATTGGAAACTAAGCCCAAAGAAAATAAATTGAAAGTGCTGATTATGTTGAACTTTAAGAGGAGAGGACTAAGTGAAGATATGATAGCACTCATCAAATAACTGAAAGGATGTCATGCAGAAGAATGTCAAACCTGTTCTCTTGTTCCTGGGTGCAGGATACAAAATAAAGGATTTAAATTACAGGAAGGCAGTTTTTTTACTGAATGTTGGAAAAAACTTCAAAACTCTATGAGCAATTAGACAGTAAGACCAACTACCCAGGAAGGTGGTGGGTTCTCCTTCTCTGAACGTGTTCAAAGTGGAAACTAAGCAGCCATCTATCTGGGATGTTATAATTTGGATTCCTGCACTGAGCAGAGGGTTGGCCTAAATAGCCCCTTGAAAATCTTTGATGATATGATTATGCTATTTCTCAGCATCCTAGTTCATTTGAGCTCCACTGAGAGCAGTTAGCATGATTCTTTGCACATAAAATCATGCAGATTCATGCAGGGCTTGATCACAGTTCGAACAGTACCATGTTGAAACAAAACAAAATAAAACCAAGATGTTTACTGCACCATTTATTGCCTTCTACCTGTATTGCCTTCTCTTGGGGAAGTAGATAAGGTCCTTGGAACACTTCATCCCACTATTTCTCTGTTAGATCTCATCTCAGCTTGGCTTCCTCCAGGGACTCCATCCTACCAATGATTTCTGAGATTACTAAAACCTTTCTTAAGAGTCCCCTACTACCTTTCTTCAGAATTCATCACTGAAACAAAGTGATTTTAAAAACCATAAACCAGTATCTAGGCCTACCACATCTGGACTGCAAAAACCTTTTAGACCACTAGATATCAGTATCTAGTTATCTCTTTGGTCCCATCTAATGGTCAAGCCAGATTTTCATAGCCCAGATCTGGGAGCCACAGTTTTCTCCCTTTTTATGTACAAATGAACATGTTCTTCACTACAGCTGACAACTTTAACCTACCAGTAGCTATAGTTATTTTTCAAGCAGTTGCTTCTTCTTCCACTTTTTCATGTTTATGAACCTCCAGCACATAGAAATATGACAATAATCAAAGCTATCATGTAATGCAAATGATGTTGATTTGCTTTTGTTATAAGCAGTGGTGATCTAGGTGCTTTAACAAATCACCAGCTTCAGACCTACCATGGAACAGATTATTTATCTACATAAATAAGTTAAACTGTGAACTATTTTGCAAACTGAAATTGATATAGAAAATTCAGAAATATGAATACTGTAGCTTAATATTTATTTGTGAGCATTCCAGAACAGCTTCAGTAAATGTAGGCCAATCCATTCCATGTTTTATAATGGGCTTTAAAAAAAATAGAGGAAAATCAGTGAAGAAAAACTAAGGATGCAGGTGATATGACTAGAGACATTAAATTCTGCAGTTTGTGTTGCTTTTTTTTTTTTTTAAAATCAAGCATCCATTCCAACTGTTTCTTAATTTAATACCTTCTGCTGGAAGAAGTAGAACAGATTCATACATGGATGTGACAATCACTGATACATTCTGGTCTTTAAAGAAAATGGAAAAATTGCCCCTTAATTTTTACTCTACATTACTTATTTTAAATTCATGTTACAAAGCAACTTTAGCATGCCCCCACTTTAAGGTCAAAACAGCTCATGATAACAGCTTTTAGTTAATATGATCCATATTGACTACTTCATAAAGATTGTAACAGGAAGTTTTAAAGATTTGTTTCCTAAAGATGTCAGGAGACACTGTTCTGCCCTCCAGCAATTATAGACATTAATTATCATTGACAGAGCAAGGGACTGTAACAATATAACCAACTGACATTGTCTCTATGAACTTTCAATTTAGGAGCAAGATTAATTTCTTATAAGAGGATTTGCTCTGTAGTCCGGTCAGCCACAGATTATTTTACATTAGGTTTCAACCTCTATGGTCCATATGAGTTGGAAGCAACACGATCATTTTGTCAAAGGGTTTCGTATTCCCAGTTTATCTATTAGTTACATAAATGGACATTTTGGACTATATCCCCATTTATCATCAAGGAATTATTCTGCATTTTCCCTATTACTTTTATGCTAAAATACCCTGCAAATAAAATACCATCTCTTTAGTTTCAGATTAATTTGACATTTATGTAATTTCCAGAGGAGCAACCATATTACTTGGCTGTAGCAAAAACAGCAAGGAGTGCTGCAGCACATTAAGGAGTAATGAATTTATTATGGCAGAAGCTTTCATGGGCAACAGACTACCTCAACAGATACAAAATAACCAATATTAAATAGCAGTATAGGAGGAAAACGTGAATTCAAATCATATATGAAAATATACTTGTATTGCTGTAATGTGATAGTACATTTACTGCTATTTAACTCTATTCTCTGCATATTTGAACATTTCTGTCAATGGCTTTACATCTGCAGTACTTTGAGTCCAGCTGTCATGGCCCAGGACTCAGACTCTGACTCTGAAGAAGTTGCTCCAGCTGAACCAGTGGAATGTCAGCCTCAGGAGACACCTGAGAATGATCAAACACAGGCACCATTGCTGGAACAGTCAGAGGAGGAGGTACAGCCTTCAAGCCCTTGCTGAAGAGAGCAAAGAGTAGAGCAAAGACACTCAATGAGGCTCCTTGCCAAGCAAAGGAGGAACTGTTTTAATTGAAGATAGCTGGCTGCAGCCTGATTGACGATGCAGTCCTGACCCATGGATTTCTGTTGGAAACAATGGTCTGATCTCTGGTTCCTGTATATTCTGCTCCTGTAAAAAGCCCGGAAACTCTGACCTTTGGATTGGCTGATAAACCTGGCTTGGCTCTCTAAACTTTGTATTAGATTTTGATTTCTCTTCTGCATGTTCCTGTTGAAAGCAAAACTACTCAGGCAAGCTTTCTTTCCAAGAATCTCTGCTTTCATTTACTTTCCTTTGCTGCCATTTATCTACTCAGCCCTGAGTAAATTGCTGCTATCACCTAGCAATTGGGAATGTGAGTGTGAAACCTGAAACAGGACCCCAGCTGACCTTGACCATGTAAATGCATTCCATACTTGTAGCAGGATTCTTCCACTTCTTTTTATGTACCTATAAATGTAACCAAAAATCAGTTCTTGAGTTCTAGAGGGCTTTCCAAAATGGCATCAAAAATGGCACAGGGGAATGTCAGTTGGAAAAGTAAATCAGCTGCTATCACATATTTACTTCTCTGTTTTATACAAACAGAAACACCTACTGTTTGCAAAAGAAAGTTTTTAAATATATACTCATACAATTCTGAAGTCTGATTTTATATACATATATATATATATACACACACACACATATATATATACATATACATACATACACACACACACACAAACAAACATAAACTATCTTGGCTATGTGAGTGCCCATTAAGTTACTTACTCCCAGTTAGTTTTATCTATAAAATGGCATTGGGAAAACTATCATTCTAATTACAGGGCAGCTAAGAAAGAACCATGTAACTTTATTTTTCATCACAGCTAGCTAAGTGAAGGGTAAAGACTGCATTCTGTTTTTCACCAATCCCAATTCTAGAAGACCAATCCACCATTGGATGAAGTATCTGAGAGATCATTCAACATTAGGGGCAATACTTACAGAGATAACATAAGGTAGAATCCTTAATACGGAGCACTCTACACCAAAAAATGTAATTGACACTGTGTGCGTGTGAATATGTATATATGTTTCTGTGTATGTATAGTGTACCCTATACATGTAAAAGTAGACCCTATGGTGTACTTTTTATTTTTATTAAATTATATGGATATATTTTTATAAATGGCAGCATAACAATGAAATAAAACAAAATTTAAATTTCTCCTACTTCCCTTTCCCACTCTATATCTCATCATTAATTCTTTTTTCTCCAGCAACTTTAGGCTGAATTAATTTCCCATGCAGTCTTGTATTGTTTGTAAACTAAATTTTCTGTTTCTTCTAATGGTTAAAGATGTATTAGAACATAACTGTCTGTCAGAATATTATCAATGTCTTAAAATATTGCTCAGAAGCTATTGTGCAAAGTTGGAGGCTTCATACTACAGAGTGTGATTGCAATTTATCAATGTTAATTTTTAATCTGTATTTTTGCCTGTTATATTATGCTTATCATGTTGTCTTATGAATTTTCTTCTTGTAATTTTCCAAGCTTCCCAGAACTGTTAAGAGATCAGGCAGGCTCTGTGTCTGTATATGTCTGTATGTACGTGTGTGTGTATGCATGCATGCAGGAACAACATACACAACCCAGGTAGCTGGCATTGTGTACAAGAACATCTGCACAGTGTATGAGCTAGATTCTCCCAAGTCCAGATGGTAGATTCCACATAAGGTTGTGGACAATAACAGGGCTAAGTTCCTGTAGGACTTCCAGATCCAGATAGACAGGC